GACTCCTCTATGGGCTTTACACAGCGGAGTGGGCCGACCTCCCCTCCTCCACCTTTTGTGCCCCCGCAGCCAGCTCGCTCTAACGAGCGCCGCTTCGTCCGGGGGTCCTCCTCGCGTCCAATGAGCCTCTTCAGGTCCGTCGTCCGGGAAAAATGTCACCGCGGGGTTCCTCAGAGAAATGTTGATATTGGCGGAAATAGAGCTGAGGTCAGGAAACCGTCTTTTCAGGGGTTCTATTGAGATCTGAGACGGTCCAATGTTTGTGTTTAGATCAGTCTGAGGCTTTTTTAGCGCTTTGCTGAGAGTCGAGATAAAGAGGGAAGATTTAGACTCAAGCTGCACAAGATGGCAGCAGCAGTGACCTCACGTCTGATCATTTCTCCTACTTGAAAACATCCAGAGCAGCAATTTACACTTTTTTGTTGCTGTAGATTATTTAAACAAGGACAAATATCAACTAGAGTCCAACGAGTGTCCCCACAAATAATCTGCAGGACGTCAACCACAGGCTCTGGTTACCACGGAGCTCATCCTCTGGCTACACAAAGCAAATTCACATATTTGTGTAAATAAAGTTAAAAATAATACAAGTACCTGAAATATTTCTTTATGTCCATTCGGAACATGCCTCCAGGTTTCAGAGCTCAGAACCACGAAGATAAACACGGATTTGCTTCAATGTTTGCTAACGTGAAAGAAGCTTGAATATTTATTTGGAGGCACCTCTCGAGTTTTGGTGAAGAGCCTTGTTCTGTCGTGGTTTGAGAAGCGCTCATGAAGGCAACACCTTAATGTTACGTCGACTGTCACGATTCTCGACACAGAGGTTTTCTGGGAACGTGCCCGAGGTTTCTCATCATCGTCACGTTTGTGTTTAACTTCCTGTGAGTGTCATCCACTCAAATCCACCCGTCTGAAAACAGGTGTGTCAGTGAGTCTCCTGATGATGAGGTTCCTCGGTGGAACAGCAGGGTTCTGTCGAGACACAGGTTCTGTGAGGACTCCAGATCTTCATTTGTTTGAGGTTTCTAGAAACGACTCTAGAGTTCTTATCAACGAGATAGAAGAACCTCTTCGTCTTTGGGTTGAGAACTTTTTTGAAGGAGATTTTCTGATGTTTCTGAGTCTCCGTGTGGTTTTAAAATGTCCCCTTGATAAGAGGTTCTTGAACGCACCGTGTCTGGCCTTTGATGAAGTGTCTTGAAGTGCTTTTATTGTGGAGAGAAGGGAGGAAGACGGTGGATCACATTCCGCCGGGATTTGATCCAAAGTGGTCGAGTAGTGTCGGAGAACGCTGAGTTCAAAACGGACGGGAGCTGAACAAACATCATTTCACATGAAACTCAGTTCATATCGAGGTTTTCTCACTTTTCTTAGTGTTTTAATGTTTTTGATTAAATAAGTGAGCGATCACGATATCGTCCGTTATCTGATCTAAAATTTTTATTGGGACATATTTATTTTTTAATCAACAATCTCCCTCTTGTTAACCAGCTTAAGTGTGTGTGTGTGTGTGTGTGTGTGTGTGTGTGTGTGTGTGTGTGTGTGTGTGTGTGTGCACTGTGACAGGGTGGCTGACCCTCTGCTGCTCCGTGTCGCTCCCGCCTGTAGTTTTTTTTTTCAGCAGGTATTTTTTGGTTTGTGTGTCGTACATGAGTTCGGCTGCAGAGACGACGAAAGGTCAAACACAGAGAAGAGAGTTTGTACATTTGTTTAAACCTCAAATCTTCTTTTCTTTTTTTAAATTGTTTTTTTTAAACTTCTGGTTCATCGTTGTCATTATTAAAAATGTGGCTGAATTTTACAGATTATTTAAAACAAACTAAACTATATGAAATAATTCAGGATGCAAACTTGATTACAGCAGAGACATTGATTTTACAATCAGAATGAATTGTATAAATATTCTATACATCCAACCAAGTTTTTTATCTCATCAAATATTTCATTATTTACATGCATACAAATATAAATATAAACTCAGTTATTCAGTTCAACAGCAAAATATCCATAAATGCAAAATCATGTAGGATTTATTATTAACAGAATACAATTCAAATGAAAAATATAAATGTCTTTTCATTTCTTTATATTTATATTAAAGGAAAAAAAAATTCAAATTCGGACAAACAAAATATTTAGAAAGAAAAGAAACACATAATTATTATTATAAGAACTGTGTGTGTGTGTGTGTGTGTGTTAGGTCAGTACACAGTTGTACATCTATATTTTCGATGATGCAGTGGAAAAGACGAACTCCTGTGAATGTTGGCTCGCCTCCATTTTAAGAACCCGTCTCCACGACCAGATGGAAGTCATGTGGTGACTGGTTTGAGTGGTTGACGACTGCGTGTGAACGACACAATAAATCTATTTGTGTCAGAGCTGAGGAGCAGCGAGGTCGAACACATGAACACAATCGATCCAGAGCGACAGAGTCCTGTTTCTCTGTAAATATCTGTCGTCTCTTCTGTCTCCTATAATCGGAGCAGACGACTGGATCCATGCAAAATCTTTTAAAACTGCATTTGACGAGTCTGTGAACTCGTGCAATGAAAAACAGAGAGGTTGTATTTAACAGAAAATTAAAAAAAAAACTCTGAGAAATTAATTTTCTCTTTTAACACATTTGAAATGTTAAAATAAAAGTGGGACATGTTTAGTTCATATTTAAGACCTTTGAGAAGAACATTTTATTTTTGCGATGGCTGAAACATTTTGGATTGGTTGCAGGATGAGGTCATCTGCGGGGGTGTATTCAACTGACCAATGACAGTGTCAGATCTAAACGCGTGTGTGTGTGTTTCTACTTGCACGTGTGCACGTACGCTCTCCGATCACTTTAAGTGCATGTTCTTCTCTGCATGGATTTATTTTGGTAGCATGCAAAAATACATTTATACACACACACCAGTATATATATACACATTTACACGTCAGCGAGTGTGTGTGTGTGTGTATGGGTGCATCTGTGCCAATGATTTCCACGACTTTGTGTGTGTGTGTGTGTGTGTGTGTGTGTGTGTGTGTGTGTGTGTGTGAGTGTGAGAGAGTGTGTGTGTGTGTGTGGGAGTCTTTGTATACGTGCCAAACCGGTCCAGCTGGCATCAGTCGTAGCTGTAGCCGAGGCCGCTGTATTGGTCACACACACACACACACACACACAGTCGACCACATTCCCGTTCTGTACGCCTGTAATTATCAGCCTCTTCTGCATCGACTACCATGTTGGCATGTATACAGTGCTGGTCTATACACGCCTGATTCAAACCCTTCACCACATACACGCTTCATTTTCCTCCACATTCGCTCGCTGTGAAACCCCCTCCACTTCATCTCGTACGGCTGCTCCGACCGCAGAATGTAATTACACACTAGCCGTGGTTTGATATTTAGACTGGCTGAAGATTTAAGGTTTTATCCAAAACGAAAGTCTGTGTGGTAAAAATAGGCATCGGAGCAGCTCGGAGCAGGAGCAGGAGGAGGAGGAGGAGGAGGAGGAGGAGGAGGAGGAGATGAGCCTGTTCAGAAGTTGGAGAGGAAATTAGCTTTGTTGTTTGACGGAGCAGCGGCCGCTACGTTTTCTAAATTCATCAGACACCTCTTTCACAGCCAGACACGCTGGGTTTGAGCATTACAGCGATCGGTCGGTTACCTGCCAAAGACGCTTCACCTTCTTGTTGTGCACTGATCAGTTCTTGGCCTCTGTTTAAAGAGCAGCGATGTCTGATTCACTCAAACACATGTTTAAACATGTTTGACCAAAGACGTTCTGTAGAAGACATTTGTGCAGGTGAAGACGTCAACACGTCTGTGTTTCTTCTCTCAGACATTAAGTGTGTTTCAGATGTGCCGTCGGTTGTGAAGGAGAATATATAAAGAAGAAAGATAAAACCGGTTTATTTATACATTTAAAATTAAAAGAGAATCAGTTTCGGCATTGAAGCTGTTTTCTTGAACTCTGGAAAATGTCCTGCTCTTCATCGTCTACGTGTGGAGCTCCTCTTCTTCATCCTTCAGAGTTTTACACTTTTAAAAAGCTGACACGCGACGTAGAACTGGACCATGTAGATTTCCGAGTAGTAACGAGTAAATCAAAAGTCTCGGGGAGGAAAGAGGAGAATAAAACGTCACGTGACGAACCTCCACAGAGTCGACGACAGATGTGAATTCTGTCCTCGACATCACCTGTTGGGGATTTCTCTCCATCAGTTGGAGAAGAGAGGCGCCCGCTCGTTGAAACATTCTTCAGCCTGCAGCGGGGATCTGTAGTTTTTCCTCCTCTCTCCATGTTCGTGAAGATCCTGAAGCTCGTCTCACGTTCGGTGTGTTTGGTTCTGAACACGCGGCGCGAACGAATCTGCACCTGAAAGAAAGTGGACAATGAAAGTGTTTGTGATCGTGCAACATAAAGAGCTCCTTTGTGTGTATGGATCTATGCAATGCAGGCATCGCAGATGTCAGTTCTGTTGTGCAGGGAGAAAACAGACACACACAGACACACACACACACACACACACTGTGTGTGTGTCTGTGTGTGTCTGTTTGGCTGTTTTCTATTGTAAATCTTTGTCTGTGTTTCTCAGACAAAATGTAAATGAACGATTCTTTAAGTGAAAAAAAGACAAATTAAAATATTTCAGTAACATACGTCACCGCTGCCTGAATGAATGTGTCGTAATTGATGCTGTTGTTCGATTTCATTGGACGTGAATATCGCTGAGAAAATCAATCACATGATCAATAATCAAATGATCATTTCTAATTTAATGTTGTAAACAGAAAACAAATGAACGATTGTATGACGTTAGTACCTCATGATCCTGATCCTGATCCTGATCCTGATCCATGATCCTGATCCTGATCCTGAACCATGATCCTGATCCTGATCCTGAACCATGATCCTGAACCATGATCCTGATCCATGAACCATGATCCTGATCCATGATTTGTCTTTGTTGATCTCCTCCGTTAACATTGTCCTCCTCTTCCTCCTGCAGGTAAATCAGAGAGGAGCTCCTACTCGTACGGGAGAGAGTCCAACCCACACTGTCACCAGGTCAGTCCCGCTGTGAACCTCCTTCTTTGTTTTGAAGCAGCGAACGTAACCAGGGAGAGGAAACTGTCCGACCGGAGGTCAAAGTTCAGACTCGAGCCCTTGACTCCTGATCTCTGGACTTTACATCCAGATGTTGTGTGTTTACATTTCACAAACAAACCCGAGCGATCAACAACAAACCAACTTAGCATGTGGCTAACTGCCTGCACTGGGCTTTCTGTCTGAAGTAGCATGTAGCTTGTTAGCTTTATCATTTTTTTGGGAAAATGAAGTCGTGGAAGTGACTTCGTGTCTTAAATGTCGGGGTGGTGATTTAAATAATATCGTTGAATTTGATTGGATCATTGGAAAGTGGGCGTGAGTTTTGGAGCTGCAGTCCTGAAAAAATACAAATATTCATATGTTTGTTTTTTTTAAATACTTTTTGTTGTATAAGATGGTAAACATGATATATAAACAGTGCCATCTTCACGAACTTCATGTTCAGGTCGGGTTTGGTTTGGTTTGGTTTGGTTGAATTAGAATTCAGTGTCGTTGTCGGGGATGTTTTCCGTCTCGTACAGTGAACAGCTACAAACGCCTCTGAAGAAGAGTCACAGCGTCACGGTGCAGGTTGATGCACAAACAGGGGATTTGTTTGTTTTATTCGTAATTGACATCGTCAGTTATTTAAAATTCTCATATTCAAAAAAAAAACTTCTCGTGTGTCAGTCATCCTCACGATAAACAACAGCTGTTTTACTTTTTGTCGACGGCGTTTAACTGCATCACATTTTTCTAACTTTATTCCCACTGAATAGTTGAATTGTTAATTGGATTAATTGTTTAAATGGAATATTTATCGTCTGGGTGGTGCCAGGTGTTGTGAGGACTTTGCTAATCGCTGGATTTAGACTCTGCTCTGAAATCCTCCTGCTCAGATCTCATGGACCATATGCATCCAGGAGAAGACGCACGTCGATGATTAAAACAAATATACAGATGTTGCTGTTTGATTCTGCTGCTGGAGCATTAGACGGAGAGGCTTCATGTGCTCGCGGTAATTTGACGACCACCTTTCGCTTTTTGAAATGATGAGAATCACATACGTTGGGTTCCAGCGCAGGCTGTCGGACCTGTTGACGGAGTCTGATGTTCAGGATTTATTTTTCCTTTAGTCTCAAACATCGATTAATTAAAGCTTATCAAACACGAGTACATTTCCTTGATTACGGAATTCAAAGTTGAGCTGAAAGATGTTTCAGATCATGATGCTTATATGAAGGATGTGATGCTGGAGTCTGGATGCAGCTGATTGATCACTGAGGGGAATTAAAGACGATCATATTATTTAACTGCTCAATAATTCAGTGTCTTTTATAGCTGCAGCAGAACTTTTCAAACTCTCATTAAACTGTGTGTCAGTAGGCTCAACGTTTCATATTATCTAT